CAATACCAGAAGGGTGTTAGGTGACATACTGTATTATGTCTGCGTGTATATCATTGAATAGTCTCCCGTTATTGTCAGATGCCTCCACCAGAGCTACAAGTATCCAATATACAGTATATTAAGGAATTTACTTTTGCTCTTGTACATACACACACATGACATTAACTTAGGTGTCTAAACTTCGGCAGACACATGTGCTCTCTCTCTCTCTCTCTCTCTCTCTCTCTCTCTCTCTCTCTCTCTCTCTCTCTTCCATAAGCTTAATATTTTTACACGTTACGTTATAGCAGACTGACAGCTTCTGAAAATGAAGGGAAACTGAGTGTAAATTTTAAATAAACCATCATTTAGTCTACGCCAGTATTATGAACTTACGGGCGATAAAGTGTGTGAGGTATGGCAACGCACAGCTCTGGAGGGGAGACACGCTGCTGGAATCTAATAGAGAGAATAAGAGAGAGGGAGGGGGGAGGGGGAGGGAGGGAATGTAGAGAAGCGTTTATTAAGGGTTTCTGGTTTTATAGAGGAGGCATATAAAGGGAAGGTGGAGGTGATGGGAGGTGAGATGAGATGGGAGTGGGAGGCAGGGGGTTTGTAGGCAGGGATTTGGGGGTGAGGGAGGTGGGAGTGAAAGTGGAAGGTGGGCTGTGAGGTGTGGGAGTGGGGTGGGGGTCGGGTGGGAGGTGGGGGTGGGAGTGGGGGTGGGAGGTAAAGGGTGGGAGAGTGGGAGGTGAGAAGAGGTGGGAGCTGGAAGGTGGGATGTGAGGCGAGGGAGGTGGAAGTGAGGTGAGGAGAGGTGGAAGGGTGATGGGAGGTGGGAGGTGGGTGGGGGAGGTAAAGGGGTGGAGAGTATGAGGGGAGGAGAAGTGGAAGGTGAGGTGATGTAGAAAAGCATTTACTAAGGAACCAGTTTCCTGAAGGGGGTTTTAAGGAGTAGAATTTACTGAAATATGCTATTAATGTTGTATACTGTTTACTAGAATGGTTTCTTCAAGTACAATTTATATGAATGGGTTAATTAGTAAACAGACAGATAGACAGACCAAATTACAGACAGGTAGATAGATACTGACAGGTAAGCATTAATGGACATAAAAGGTGATCGACCAGTGCAAAGGAGACAGAAAGTCAAGCTGATATGTAGATGAGACGGGCTGACTAATTAGACAGGTAGATGCATACAACAGACGGGCTGACTAATTAGACAGGTAGATGCACACAACAGATTTAAATAATCATCCCAGAGAATTGTTTTACTCTCTGGTAATTTTGTTGTGGTTGTTTTTGTGGTTATGAATGACGTCAGCAGCTGCGCCCAACAACAACACCACCCTCGCCCCTGTTATCGTACACTTTATATCCTTGCCGACTGTCATATATATATGTTATGTAATCAGGGGAGCCCGCTTTATGTGTGGGTGCAAATGTGTTAGTATATGTATGTATGTATGTATGTATGTATGTATGTATGTGTGATGGTAGTAATAGCTGTAGTTTTAGAGAGAGAGAGAGAGAGAGAGAGAGAGAGAGAGAGATCAGTGTCTACACAGCGAAAATAAAAATATCAAAGACATAGGTGACTTGGGCAGGTCACTTGTTGTCAATAGTAGCGTTGCTTGTCATCCATGAATGGTCACTCGGCCCATTCATTTAGAGGGGAAGAGAGTAGTATACACGTCGTAACCTTGCCCTCACCTCCACCTCTTCTCCCCTTCCCTTCCCTTCATACTCCCCCTTCACCCATCCTTCTTGTTTAGTCTCTCTCTCTCTCTCTCTCGACCACTTCTTATTTTGGAAAGCGAGCAGGTTAATAGGCTGCTGTGAAAGGGGGGGGGGGTGGGAGGGGCTTCACAGCAGCCTATTTACCTGTTCGCTTTCTATTTTCTTTCATTTTATGTCTCCCGCATTTCATTTTCCACTTTTATGCATATTTCCCTTCCACTTGTTATTGCCTATTTGTCTCCTATTGGCCGTTAACCCTATTTCCCTCTTCATTCAAATTTTACGCTTGACACTTTATTGCCCCTTCATGATCTATTGCCCTTTACATTACCTTTCCCTTTCATTATCTATTGCAATTTCATTCTTTTGTCTCCGTATTACTTATTGCCCCTTCATAACGTATTGCCCCTTTATAAACCTTTATAAACCCTTTCATAACCTATTGTTCCTTCATAATTTCTTGCCCTTTCATTACCTATTGCCCTTTTATTCTTATTGTCCACACCTCGATACTTATTGCCCCATCATTACCAACCATCCACTTATTAAATATTGCCCTTTCATATTATCTATTGCCCCTCCATTACTCATTTCTCATTGCCTCTTTATTACTTATTACCTTCTCATAAATCAATGCCCCTTCTATTGTTAATGCCATACTTATTGCCCCCATCATTACTTATTACCCCACCATTGGTTATTGCCCCATCATTAGTAAATGCTCCATCATTGGTTATTGCCCCATCATTAGTTATTGCCCCATCATTAGTAAATGCTCCATCATTGGTTATTGCCCCATCATTAGTTATTGCCCCATCATTAGTTATTGCCCCATCATTAGTTTCTGCCCCTTCATTGGCTCTTGCCCTTCATCTAGTGGGCGGCCTCTCACCCTCGCCTCCCAGACGATCATTCAGCGTGTCAGTCGCTCGACGTGATTTCGCCCAATTGAAACGTCACCTCCGCCTATCAATAAATCGAAGTTGTCGGCGGGACCATCTTGCCTTCCCACCTTACCTCACGTTTCGCTCAACTCCCTGAAAGTCTCGTTCACCTCGACATCTCCCCGGCCAGCTGGTGTGTGGGGTGGCGGCTCGAGAGGTGAGCAACTAGGGAACGGTACGATAGCTTGTGAACGGGCAGTTGGTCACAGTATATAATGTGTATGTGCGAGTATGTCATCCCGGTTGGTGGTCAAGAGCGCCTGCCAGGGATTATAATTTAGGGTATATAATGCTGGGTATACCTCTTCTGCCGATGCCCGATATACTACCCACAGGGACACAGTGGCTCGTGTGTCCCCACTTTTCTCATTTATTTTTTTTTTCTATTCTCCCCCAGAAACGACTCATGTGTGGGTTTAGTGTCATAGAGCAAGTCGAGGAGGAGTGGGGAGGGGCGGGAGGGCAGGCGGGCGGTGAGCGGACCGCGGCCGTGGTAAATCGGGAATGGAGGGGTCCGTCTGGCTGGTGGATATGACTACAGCGCCGCCACAGTCCACCAAGACAAAGGTGGTGCGTCAGTGTCTATATTTCAACTGGTTTTGCTTCCTGTCGATCCTCTCAATAGCTTCATCTGTTGGTAAATTATTCATTATACACGCCATTCACACCTACTCATTGCCAAGTGTCGCCATATTAGGGAGCGTCAAAGGGTAGATCACACACTGGGAAAGGCTCATCGGGGAGTCAATATGCACACTGCGTTTACTAGAAAATAAAGTTCTTAGGGCGTTTACCTTCCGAGTGTTTAGAGGAGATGTGTAAGCAGAAACCACATGTATTTGCTTTAGGGTTTGAGTCTCAACATGAGTCTCGCGCTGTGGATAATGAAATGAGCTCCACTACTCTGAGACCCATGATAGGCTCCAGGCTGCGCCGGTGGGCGGAGCTTAACGTCCTCCCACCAATCAGGCCTGGGGGGCTGGGCGTCGCCTCGCCCCGCCTCTTCACACCGCCATGCCAGCAGAGTTACTGCCTGACATAATATTCGAGGTTGGTTGGTGGAAAGAACAAACATTAGTTGACGTTTCACGTAAGCGATCTAATTTAAGAGAGTACAGAAGAAGAATAGAGGGAGAATTAGACAGCTGTCAGTCTGATAGACTACTGACGGCGAGGTGAGCGTTGTAACTTACTCATGTAGTTGTGGTGTCGGCAGTGTGTAAGCGCAGCGAGGTGCGAGAGTATTGCTGTGGCCAGTTGACAGTTACAAGCTGTGTGGTTAAGATAACTCTTTTATCTCCGAGGAATGTAAGTCAATGGTGTTAAACAGTGCTTGTGTATGAACATATACTGTGAGTGTGTAGAAACTGAGGGAGTAGTGTGTTAGCGGTGAGTGTGCGCGGCGTGGTAGCGATGTGGCAGGCGGCAGCGGCGGCAGAGCGGCGGTGAGCAACAGCTGAGCGGCCGCGCCACCCGCTGGGGAGGGCGAGGGTGGCCCGGCCCCGCATGTGTCCCGAGATGAGCGGAGATGCAGCGCGTGGGACCTGGCGACGCTCGCCGGAGGCTGCACCCAACCAGCATCAACCCGACAGTGGCACAGAGGAGGGGGCTGGCACCCCCAGCGATTCCCAGGAGCGCCTCCACCCTGGCATCCAGATAGCAGAAGACAGCGACAGTGACATTAGTGTGGGGTGTCCCTCACCGAAACCCAGTGAAGACAACTCCCCGTCAGGTAGTTCGGGGCCCGCGGCAGGGCAAAGTGAGGACCTGGGCTCCCCCCTTCCCCGGACACCCACCCCAGGGTCGGCCACCTCCCCTACCAAGTACCAGGAAGATGGCGTCACCTCCCCGGAGTGCGTCATGTCGCCCCCTCCGGCTCCCACCACCCCCGTCAGGGAGGGGGCGGAGGACGAGTACTTCAAACCTCTTAAAAAATTAAGGATGATACAGCTACAGCAGGAGGAGGCAGCCCTGGCGGCCCGGGCTAACGCAGGGGTCAAGTCCTTCTCCATTATGGAGATCCTCAGCCACAAGCCCGTGGTGGCCAAGGCGCCTGAAGCCACAGGAGGCCGCATTGTCAGGCCTTGGGACACAGACGATGATGACGACGGGTCGCGGCCTCAATCTGTGGACGACATGAGCGTGTCTTCGGCCTCTTCCTCGGGAGGGTCACCGCGCCCGGCCTCCAGTGGGCCTGGCTCGGCCAGCTCTGGTCAGGGCCAGACCAGAGCCCGCGGCAAAGATGGTAACCCGCTAGATGCGCTCTTCCAGATGACCAGCAAGACATTTGAAGGACTCAAGTCTGGCCAGCAGCCCGGTGAGTACCTCACCTAACCACCAGATAATAAGAAAACACACCCATGATTACAGTCACTCGTGTTGTAATAAACTAACATTTACGTTAAGAAAATTATAACTTGTTGTAATTCATATTGTTATGTTATGTAACCTTTGACAGTGAATTACATTTATGGAGAATTTTCTGTAACGTTATGATGTCTGTTACACTTTATAATACAGTTTCATTCGTGAAAGTCACAAATATAAAATGTATAACTTTATTCAGTTATAAATTTGTCCTGAATTATATAAAAAAAATGTAGTGATTTTTGTTTTCTGTTAATGACCAACTTTGGGTCAGAACTTCAATAGCAAAAGAGAACAATATCCCATTAGGTCAAGTTTAGTTCTAATTCGTTGTGCTAGGTTGAGTATATTTTACCATACAGCCATAAAATTCAATGTGATATTCATAGATACTTTCGTTAGTTCCTCCCACTAGTCGGAGACAAAACTTGACGCAAGGATTTATATATTTAGTAAAAAAAACAACAAAAAGACAAAAACAAGAATCAACACTAAATGAAAACAAAAACTAAGTAGTTCATATTGCATCAATTATTTTCTAAGCCAACATGAAAAATTTTCAAAGCAAACAAATATATTATCTAATAAACGTTATTGGTAAATTTGGCCCAAAACGACATTTTCGGTGTCTTAGAGCGTGGTTGATTATGGCCGTGACCGACGTAGGTGTGTGTGTGTGTGTGTGTGTGTGTGTAAAACTACCATTACACCTAACCAGAAAACGATTTCTCTTAAGAGCTAACGCGGACGTAAAGTTTGACGACCGATATTCTGTGTAAATAACAAAACAAGACTTAAAATGTTTATTGTGTTGTGGTAATTCCCCAAGAGCGCTAGTGATTATTTATATAACATTAAGAACAATTTGACGACAGAGTGATAACTTCTGGTAATAATAATAATAGTAACAATAATAGTAATATTCAGAAAAAAATAAAAATAAAATAATATAATAACAATAACAACAACAATAGCAAGAGTAATAATAATAATAAATAACAACAACAACAATAATAATAATAATAATAATAATAATAATAATAATAATAATAATAACCCACTACTCTTCACCTTCATCAGACTCTCACACCTAGTCACAACACACACGGCAGTTGCCAGGTTCTCAAAGCCACGTAACATTAAAATTCCCCTCACAAGCGCCGATACAAGGGAGCATCACACTGGTCCACTGCAGACACGACACCGAGGTGGTGAGGAGTCCTGAATGGCATCATAATGACACCGAGACTGTACTGTACCTAGATGCTGTCTCTCATACTAAGGCATAGAGATAAAAATAACTCTTCATATACTACGTCACAGCAACGATAGATAGATAGATAGATTATTTCTTGATTCAATATGCATAAGAGCTATTGTAGGCATACGAACAAATGGTAACTTAACTTATATGTATTGTAGTTTGTATTTGGGGCTGACTAATACAATAGCTCCAGAAAATAATTAAAATAAATTTATTAGTATGGAAAGTGACAAGCACATACATTGTACTTAGCCTAATTGATACAGTCCAACAGAGATAGATTACAATTACAGGAATATCTCTCTCCTCCTTCATGCTCAGAGTCTTGGGTATAGTCTCTCAGTGTAATTACGAACTCGTTTTGAATGTCTCCTTATTGTTGTGGTTTAACGGAGTCACTTAAATGCGCACTTATAATTTTAGCTGTGGGAAAAAATAAACGCATGAATTTAAGAGAATCCAAATTTGTGGTTTTAATATCGTAAGTCCAGATTCATAACTGTTCGTAAATATGTTGTATAGCTTATATCTGGTAATTAAAGATACTGAGAATACTGTACCAAACTGGTCGACTTAAACTGTCACAAAAATATCATAGACATTAGCGTTAACGATTTTACTGAAAATATTTCCTTAACCAGATACGTCGTTCGCTTAAACACTACTTGAAATAATTATTACCTAGAATCTTGTCCAGTGATTCTGTACGTTAGTTAATTGTGTCTCTTAACTTACATGACTTAATGTATATAATATTTTGGTAGGATCTTCGCAAAAAAGTTGAGGGTAGTTTTTATAATCATCGTGCTTAAGTGAACCAGTTGTAGTGCACTCTTACGACGTCACTTACAAGGGATATTTATCGTACAATCCTCTTGTGAATGTACACACTGAATGTTTCCTCACCACAGCCCCGAGGCCAGTTCTAAATTTTAGCCCAAACCAGATATATATTGTTGTTCTGTTAGAATGATGTCACTTTAAGAGTCGTTCTCATAACTGCAGCGGCATTTTAAAACTGTCAAGGAAAGACAGATGACATTTTGTTAGTATACGTGTGACTGTCAAGCTTTAGACAGCCATCGTCATTCTAACTGAACCATCTAATCAGTAACGAAAAGAGTCATTGTCATTCTAACCGAAGCATTTAATAAGTATTGGCTAGACAATCAGAGTTATTCTTATCAAATCAGTTAATTGGTATTGGTGAAATTTTCATCGTCATAATAATCAAAACTTTTATTTAGTATTGGCAAGATATTGTCATTCTACTCTAATATTTTAATCATTAAGGGCCAGATATTATTATCATTCTTACTGGACCATTTAATGAATAATAGTAACACGGTCAGTGCCATTCTTATTAATAAATACTATATGCACTCAATATAACCCATGACATAAACCAGATTTGCTTCTATCATGCTGGCAAGGAGGGAAACATTCTCATTATAATTCGCATTTTTTTAGTAAAGAAACAAAACAATAACACGATTATATATATATATATATATATATATATATATATATATATATATATATATATATATATATATATATATATATATATATATATATATATATATATGTATATATATAATAACTACTGTAAATTACCGTTTTATTTTATAATTATATATATCTCCTAATTCTCGGTTAAACCAGGTGTCAGTAAGTTGATGATTTATTGGGTAATTTCACTGACAAATCAAAATCAAATAAGTCACTTTCATTCAATAATTTCAAACAACGTCAGTTAATCAGTCAATACCTTAAAATATCAATCAACAGTTAAAAGATTTCTGTTGTTAAACCAAAACGTTTAATTGACAATAAAAATCATGCTGTTAATCCTAGTGATTTGATGGCCGCCAGAAATTCCCAAGATTAAACCGAGAGTGATAATAACCTGGAATCTTATCTATAACTAATTATATGGGAATCTACCTGGTTTACTTGGAGTCTACCTTGAATCTACCACGAGTATACCTTGATTACCCGAAGCCTACCTGGAATCTACCTAAGAGTTTAGTCAACCTGAAGTACACCTGAACCTATTAAAGAGTTTACCTCGAGTCTATGCAGTCTACCTGAAGTTTACCTCCGGTTTACTCAAAATATACCCAAAATTATAATCGGAGTTTACCCAGAGTTTACCAAGAGTCTACCCGGAGTTGGTTTAGTTCTCAGAGAAGTCGGCTCTGGCCTTGGGCGGTTACCTGCGGCCTGGGCGGTAATATTCATTAATTACCTGAGAAGGCAGGTTGACCAGATTAATACATGGAGGTCGTATATATATATATGGAGACTGGGGTATACATGGAGACGAGAATACGTGAAAGATGGGAGTATACGTGAGGCCAATGTATGTATGGAAACCAACAGGCAGACGCTCAGAGGTCAGTTCAAATGTGCAGGAATACGTGAAGGTATACACTGTATATGGACTGGAACACACACACACACACACACACACACACACACACACACACACACTATGATAAGCAGGTGTACAGATAATGTAATAATTTATCCAGTACAAAAGTCATAAGTCTACATTGGTTCAGTGTGTACACAGACAGGTCAGGTATACAAAGCTGTAAGAAAATGTGGTGTACTGAGTGTCGGGTATCAAGTGTGAGCTCTGACGTCTTCACCAGAGGTCTCCCGTCGCTAGCAACAACGTCCATGCTTACGCCTTTATCCTGTTTTATATATATATCTACAGTATATCCTGGGCTTTTACAAGATGACAAATCTTATTCATAAATTTTATCATAAATTATTACATAATTTAGGTTACATAACCCACCTAGATAACAAAAACTGTATTTTCATCTTGATATAATTTCAAAATTTCACAGTGGACCTTGGGTGAGGGAAACAGGTGGTGTTGTAGTCGGCCACAATATATGTCTTTGGTGGTCAGTTATATTGCTCTATATGAGATGATAATACAGTAGGTCACCACATAAATTATAGGCCTACATATTTTACAAGTCATAATAGTATTTCAACACATCTTGTTACAGAAATAAATAAATATATATATTGAAGTAAGTTTTCAAATAATTTATTTTTATTTGACCAATACAGTATATGGTACAGCGGACACACGTAAAATGATAAACAACAGAAGACTGAAAGTTAGTTGGTCAGGAATCTTTATTACAAAAAAAAATATCTGGACTCCTCTCAGTTCTCGAGTTCAATATGACGAATAACTTCCTAACTTAGCCTGTACGTGGAATATAGAATGGTGTCTGTTAAAAGCAGTACATACTTAAGTTGGCTCGGGATAACCGATATTATTAGGGAGCCGTCTAATATTTAAATATTATATTAGCGAGAATCCATACCAAATTTCGAGTGTATTAATAGAAATGAAGAGTGGCAGTTGTGGACATAAACTACTGAACGTCGGTTTTCTACCTATGGTTGTCTTAAAATAATATCTATTACGGTATGAAGGTAATTTAACAACAAAGGACACAATGACCGTTGAAAAGATAATATAAAACTGGTCTACACACCGTAAGCAACACAGAGGAAGACAATGAGTGGGTCACCCCTTCAGTTAAACCTAAGATACGAGTTTGCTTCACTCAACTAATAGAACCTTAAGTATTCTGTAGGCTCCAATCGTCTCAAAATCGATATTAATCTTATACTTTATACAGAAGAGAGTGGCGTTCTGATGACG